AGAGTTGATATATTGTCGCAGTACAGCTTAGTAGGAGAAGTGGAAATGCTGAATTCCTGAAGCATAGATTGTATCCAAATGATATCACAAGAGACAGTGGCTAAAGCACGATATTCAGCCTCTGTAGAAGATCGAGCAACAGCAGTTTGTTTCTTAACCATCCATGATATTGCCAAGAAAGGCACAATACCCAGTAATAGAGCGGCGAACCGATGAGTCCGAGGCCCAATCAGAATCTGAAAATGCAGTAAGATGCAGTGTAGAATCAGAAATTGGCAGACCATAGTCAATAGTGCCTTTAATATATCTGAGAACCCATTTTAACAGCTGGAAATGAATGAGTTGAGGTTGATGCATGTGTTGGCAGAGATAATTAACAACAAACATGATACCTGGACGGGTTAATGTTAAGTAATGCAGGCAACCAACCAGTTGACGGTATAATTCTGGTTGAGACTACAAAACAGTTGTTGCCGATGACACTTTAAGTTTAAGAGGTAAAGGTGTAGAAACAGGACGGCATTCTGACATGCCTGCTCGGTGAAGAAGATCAGCTGCATATTTTGATTGATTGAGATGCATACTGTCAGATTGCTGTGTAATTTGTAAGCCTAGGAAGTAAGTGACTGGACCAAGATTTCGCATGTTAAATCTGGTTTGCAATGTTAGAAGCAGCTGTTGAATAGTTGATTTGTCCGAGCCAGTGAACAAGATGTCATCAACATAGACCAAAATATACATGTGAACCAAGCCATGATGATATAAAAGTAAAGAAGGATCATCCTTGCTATGCAAAAATCCATAATCAAGAAGATAAGATGAAAAGGTAGCAAACCATTGCCGGGGAGCTTGCTTAAGGCCATACAATGCTTTCTTAAGTAGGCAGACATGATTAGGTCTTTGCGGATCTATAAATCATGGTGTCTGTTTCATGTAAACAGTTTCTTCAAGTTTATCATGCAAGAATGCATTGGAAACATCTAGTTGTAAAACAGTCCATTTGTAATGCACAGCAATAGTAAGTAGTATGCGAATGGTAGGAAACTTAGCGACCGGACTGAAAGTATCATGGAATTCTAAACCAAATTCTTGATTAAAGCCTTGAGCTACCAGGCGAGCTTTATGTCGTGCTAGTGAGCCATCCGAATTGAATTTAGTTTTGAAGATCCACTTACATCCCAAGATGTTTTGATCAGGAGAGGAAGGTACAAGCAGCCATGTACCCTGTTTTTGCAATGCATCAAATTCTAAACTCATGGCCTCATGCCAAATGGAAGATTTGACAGCTTGAGTGTATGAAGTTGGTGTAGAATTAATAAGAGAATGTTGAAGATCAAAGATTTTTGTAGGTTTAAGGTTTCCAGTTTGTAGCCGTGTGACCATAGGATGTTTGGAGATTGGAACAGATATGGATGTAGGAGAATGAGTTGTAGAGGCAGATACAATGGGTTCAAAAGGATCTGTGTTAGGAGGAATAGGTGAAGAACTGATATGAGATGATGTGGGAATAGGACTTGATATGGGTGAAGTATTTTTTGTGGAGTTTGGAGATGTATGAGAAACTGGAACTAATGCAGACGGTGGAATATAGCCTTGAGGTGGTGAGGAGGTAGTTGCAGTGTCAGTCTGTTGAAAGGGATAGATAGTTTCATAGAATTTTACATGACATGAGAGATAAATACGACCAATGGGTATGTGGAGACACTTATATCCTTTGGCATGAGAGGCATAACCAAGAAATACACACGGAATCGAGCGTGGGGCTAATTTGTGATTTAATTTAGTAGGTAGCCATGGATAGCACAAAGAACCAAACGTGCGTAGATGTAAGTAAGATGGAGGTGTATTATATAAACATTCATAAGGAGACTTATTTTGTAGAAGTGGGGAGGGCAAGCGATGTCATAAGAGCATCAAACCACCATTTGGTAGGAACATTTGCATGAAATATAAGAGCTCGAACCATTTCAAGTAAATGATGGTGTTTACGTTCAGCGACACCATTTTGTTGAGGCGTATGCGGACAGGTCGTTTGATGAAGTATGCCACATTTGAGTAATGTTGTTTTAAAGAGATTGTTTACATATTCAGTACCTCCATCAGAGCGAAGTATCTTAATTGGTTTTTGAAATTGCCTCTCAACCATGGATTTAAAGTGCAGAAATTTGGAGTATGTTTCAGATTTATTATATAAAGGATACACCCAGGTATAGCGAGTAAAATCATCAACAAACAAAAGATAATATTTATATGATTGCATTGACAAAATTGGGGATGGTCCCCATACATCAGTGTGAATGAGTTCTAGACATTGAGTAGTTCTAGTAGAAGATAAAGAAAAGGGAAGACGAGTACATTTAGCATGAGAACAAGCAGAACAGTGAAATAATGGGGAAGATAAATTGCTTATTTGCAATGCTTTGAAAAGAAGTTGTTGAATAGCTATAGATGGGTGTCCTAAACGTTGATGCCAAAGAGTGGAAGGAATGGATGCGGCAGTAAGAGCTACAGTGGTGGCTGTTGTAGACAGTTGGAATGAATGATTGGAAGAACTAATAGGATATTGTCCTTGTTGACTGGGCCCTCGGAGAAGAATCCGGTTGGTCCGAGAATCCTTGATGATATAGCCATTAGAATCAAAACAAACAAAACAAGGATTATTGGTTGTTAGTTTATGAATTGAAAGGAGATTATGCAACAAATAAAGAACATGAAGAATTTGTGACAATTGTAGATTACGAGATGGAGTGGGTAAAAGGCCTTGACCGGTATGAGCAATGGGAAGAAGCTGTCCATTCCCAACTTGAACGTGAGAATTACCAGAGTAAGATTGTGCTTGCTGAAGTTGTGAGGCATCTGCTGTGAGATGATAGTTGCTCCGGAGTCCAAAAATCATTCAGCATTGGTTGGATTCTCTGTTGCAACGTAAGCTTGTGTTGATGACTGGTAGGAGGTATCATGGCGGTACCAGCAATTTATGGCAGAATGTCCATATTTACCACATATATGGCATTTAATAGCAGATTTAGGCACTCGACCACCACGAGTGGAGTCATTGGAAGTAGATCTTCCAGAGGTTGGGTTATTAAAAACAGGACGTCCTCGTCCAGAGGAGGAATTGCGACCACGCCCAGAGGACTGATAAAAACCTCGTCCACGGTTTCGACCTTGAGTAGTAGCTAGAGCAAGAGCTAGATCAGAGGTGGGAGTAGTAGAATGTTCACGAGCTGTGTCAGAAGCCATGTTGAGTTCTTCACTACATAAGAGTGCATAAAAGTCATCGAGATTGATTGGTTGAAGTTGAGTGCGAACAGCTGTTTTGAAAGCTTGATACGTTGGAGGCAAGCCATTGAGTGTGTAGAGAATAATGTCCTCAGTATCAATAGAGGAACCAACAACTGTTATGGCATCTATTTTCTGCTTAAAGTCGGAAAGATACTGTACCATAGTCATATCTTTTAGATTGAGATGATACAACTCGTTCTTCAGTTGAAGCAGACGAGTACGGTTAAAAGATTGAAGGCGACGCTCAATGGTAAGCCATATTTTGTGATAAGAATCTAGATTAAGGACATAAGGAAGGAGTGAAGGTGAAATGGTAGAATAAATAGCAGCAGCAAGGTTCTGGTCAATAAGAGACCAGGACCGAAAAAGAGGATTTGAGGTCAGACTGCCATCAGAAGTTTGCACTTGGGAGGTTTAACAACCGAACCAGTAAGATAAGATTCAACACCATTTGCAGAAAATAATTTCAGCATTTGAGCCTTCCAAATATGATAATTATTAGTCGAGAGCTGAACATTAACCAGGGATTTTACTATGGACATGAAGAACTTGAGTTTCGGCGGTATGACAACATCACCGTCTGTAGCAGCGTTGTGAGTGGTAGCAGACGAAGAAGATGAATCTTCCATGAACGAAAAATACTTTACCCAGATTGCTCTGATACCATGTAGAAACCTGCAACTATTACAAAAGCCAAAAGCAAAGGTAAAGCAGACAACAGGGAAATAGAGGAATGTTCTTCATTACCCAAGCAAGCTACATGACATCAATATATAGAACAGAGAGTTAGTTATTAGGGAACAGTGAAGATTAAACAACAGAGATCTGATGGGTGAAATTGTCCTTAGTAGCTGTGATGGAGAAAGTGGCGCAGGCGCTGCACATGGAATAGTAAGCGACCAGATCTATATGCGAGAAAGCTTATCAGTTGCTCTTATCTTATCAAACCTCAACACCTTGGGTAACATTCAATAGGAACAAGTAGAAAATGAGGATTCATAAAGTTGTATCCTAAGTAATTGGGATTAGGCTAAGGATGATGATGATGATAAGTTCAAATTGTTGGGCTATGATTGTGGTGATTATAGTAGTGATTTTGTAGGCCTACATGTAATTGGGTTTTCCTTTGTAGGATGATTAAATAACAATATTCTGTTTTTATAGTGTTATACATCTTGATCATTGATGTGATTATCATTTTATAAGTTTTAGGTTTCATTTTTGAGGTTCCATTTTAATTCCATGTGCCATTAGTCCGTTAAGCATGCACTCTTTCCTGCATACTTTTTGTTTTCTCTTCATTTTTCCCTTTCATTTTATTCTTCCTTCTATGGTTGTGCATAATTTATATGAAAAAAAAAAGATTAAGTAATATGACTGAAGTTCTGCAAAATGATTTACTCAAAAGTGGCTCATGCAGAACCCAACAAAACAAAATGGAAAATGAGGGATAGGGTACATAAAGCCAATCCCAAATAGCTGTTATATGGGTAATTCTGATGTCATTTATTTAAAGCATGCATTAAGGTAATGAAAATAATAGTTTGTTTGCCTTTGCTCTGACTGGAGGTTATAGTTTACAAGTTTAAATCATGAAAATAGTCTTTTTTTAATGTCGGTATAAGATTATGTACATCAACGCCTCCCCTAGACCTGGCATTTATTAGAAGCTTCATTTACTGAATAATACCCTTTTACCTTGTATGTTGGTTCAGGTTGCAGTTGCTCTTTCACATGCTGCCATCTTGGAGGAATCCATGCGGGCACGAAATCTACTCATGGAACAGAATGTTGCTTTAGATTTAGCACGACGGGAGGCAGAGATGGCCATTCGTGCACGCAATGATTTTTTAGCTGTCATGAACCATGAGATGCGGACTCCCATGCATGCAATCATTGCCCTCTCCTCCCTGCTTCTTGAAACTGAACTCACGCCAGAGCAACGTTTGATGATAGAAACCATCTTAAAGAGTAGTAACTTGCTAGCTACACTAATCAATGATGTTTTAGACCTTTCTAAGCTTGAGGATGGCAGCTTCGAGTTAGAGGCTACAGTTTTCAATCTTCATGCTCTCTTCAGAGAGGTAGATATTTTTATACTTTTTTCATATTGTCTTCGGTGGCAGTTATGTTTATACTTAGGCTTCGTTTGGGATGACTTTCTTACTGCTTCTTAATTTTTGTACTAGAAAGCTGCTTTAAGAAGCAGTAAGAAAGCTGTCCCAAACGAAGCCTTAATTTTCTACTTGTTTTGGTTAGCTGACTATTTTCTTATGTTATAATATAGGTCGTAAATTTGATAAAGCCAATAGCGGCTGTCAAAAAATTGTCAGTGGTGGTGTCTCTTTCTCCGGACTTGCCATCTTGTGTCATCGGAGATGAGAAACGGCTTGTACAAACTATGCTTAATGTTGTCGGCAATGCTGTTAAGTTTACAAAGGAGGGTAGTATATCTATTACTGCGACTATTGCAATGCCAGATTCCTTGAGAGATTCACGAGACCCAGAGTTCTACCCTGTCTTAAGCGATGAGCATTTCTATTTACGAGTACAGGTTACTTGATTACCCGGAACTGTATTTAGAAATCTGATAAGTTCTTCAATTATGCTTTGCAGATTTAAGCGAGAGCTTAAATTAATTTGACATCATGTGGAAATTTCCTGATTTAAAGGTTCTTTTTCAAATTTGTATAGATTAACTATACATATACTTATTTTATGGTACAGGTTAAGGACACCGGCTGCGGAATAAGTCCACAGGAGTTGCCTCACCTCTTCACTAAATTTGCGCATAGCCAGAATGGTTCTAACAAAGGCTACACGGGCTCTGGGCTTGGGCTTGCCATCTGCAAGAGGTAAGGCTGCATAGATGAGACATGCTACAATGCATAAATTTGGTAGGGTAGACGCTGTAAATCAAGGTTTTCATTTTCAACATCGGTTTTGGTTTCAGTGCCTTTTATGGAGTTTGGTTTTTTACAATGTTGAAGTCTTCACTTTTGTTCCGTGGTTTTGCGTTAAATTTCGGTTTTTGTTTTGAACAGATTTTGAATGTAATATAAAATTAAAGATGTTTCATTATGCATTTAAATTCTCCTAGAATACAAGCTAAAAGAAAAAGAAATATGTGAAGTTTTTCTGGTTTTATCAAACTAGTAATTAATTTGGTTTAACTTTATGGCTATATGTATAAAATAATAACAAATTGTCTCGAATGATTAGGAAGACTTATATAAAATAACATACTAATTTATTTACTAGTTGTCAAATATTAGTGATGGTGATAGGGTAGTGGATTACAGTTAACAATTGGATGGTCGAAGGTCCGTGGTTAAACTCTCACCTAACAAATCACAATATTTTTCCTTCTAGAAATAAATTATCTTGCCTGAAAAACATGCCTCCATCGGTTTTGGTTGATGCCACAAACAATGATAGAAACAATGAGCCTATGTTAATTATTCTGAATTGTGCAAAAAAGTCCATTAGCATGTCGTTGCATTATAGAGCAATTTAATTTGCAACTAAAATATCATCCATTTCCATTTATAATTATTGTGCATCTCCCATACCATGCAAACTAACTGAATTGCTAGCAACATTCTTCTTGTTTCTATATTGTATTAAATTTGATCCATGCAAAAACTAGAACAGGCAAAATAAAGTCCATTGTAGTCTTACAAAACTGAAATGTTACTAGATGCCTCGAAACTTACATTATGTTAGATGGGTCCCTCTTGGATCAGCTTGTGTATACAAAAGTCAGAACAAAGAGTTCCATCCAGGAGGAACTCCCGCCGCCTCTAATTAGCGGGTCTAGTAGGTGACTGGAAAGGAAATTAAGGGGGATTAGGAGGAAAAATTCAAAAAAAGGGCTGTTTTGAGATTTACATCATTATTTACATCATTATTGGATGTTTCAAGTAGTTGATTTTTTTAGGGTTAGGGTTATGATGTTATTTGCAGAATTTATATTGTTCTTAAGGAGTTTTGGGCTCTAGTTGGAGGCTAGGGATTTGGGAGAGCCTGGTCATCCTCTTCAATAGAAGATCAATTGTATCTTGTTGTTTTCTTCTATTTATCATCACTTAAAAAGAGTTTTCTCTTGTTATTGCTCTTAGTTCCTCTTGGAGAATTGTGTTTGGGATTGCTGTAATTTAATTTCAGCCAAGGGAGATAGGATTTTTACAAGCATGTCCTAACAAATTGGTATCAGAGCGTTGTTCTGGGCTGAAATTGAAGCATTTCCTTACTGATTTCTATGGAGTTTTCCCCTCCAAAGTGCAGATTTCTGCTGTTTGAAGACCAGAATTACTGTTTTTTGTTGTATGGCCAAGATCCGGGTACCTATGGAGGCCAAGAAAGTTGATGCATGGAAAAACAACTTTGAGGAGAGATGTGAAGGACATAATTTCCAGCATGGAGGATAATTTCTCCAACCTAGAAGAGATGTTGAAGTAGGTGTTGGATCTTTACAATCAAACGACGACATTGGAGACTAGTGCCGGTAGGAGGGGCCACCCACTTGGGGAATGAAAAATTATGGAGTAATCAGGGGGAACAGAGGAGATCCAAGGGTAAGGAAGTTGAAGATGCCTATTTTAAGGGAAAGGATGCACATGAGTGAATATACAAGGTGGAGAGGTATTTCCCCGTCAATGGGTTGATGGAGGAGGATAGGCTGATGGCAGTTGGCTTTTGTTTAGAAGGGAAGGCATTGACATGATACCAGTGGAGAGACATGAGACGGCCCATACGGAACTGGAGGAAGTTCAACGATTGCTTGTTAGAACATTTTCAAACCAGCAGTGGAAGGTTCTTCTATGAGAAGTTCTTTGCTCTGACGAAGAAGGATTAATGGTTGAGTATTTTGAGAGATTTGAGTACGTGGCTAGTCGACTTGATCAACTCTCTGAGACTGTATTAGAGCGGAATTTCATGAAGGGCTAAAACCAGAGATTTGGGCGGCAATTAGAATGATAAGGCCTCGTGATTTGGATGATGTTAGAGGATCAGAAGTGTTTGGAGAGGGGCCAGAGGTAGCAGTTCAGGAGGCTCGTACATGATGACCATTACCTTTTTAGCACTTAAAGGGCCGACATTGGTAGCTTGCAAGACACCCCAAAGGAAAAGCCTATAAGAGTGGGGAGAGAGGGGGGGGGGGGATTAGGGGAAGCTTCAAGAAGCTTACTAAGAAGGAGTTGCAGAAGAAGAGGGCAAAGGGATTGTGCTTTAAATGTGATGAGAAGTATATATCGGAGCACATGTTTAAGGACTGAACTCTTCAGATTCTCACTGTCTGTATTGACGAGGAAGATGAGGGAGGTGGGAGTGAGGTAATGGTAGAGGAAGAGCTGCATATAGAAATGTCGGAAGTCTCCTTGAACTCAGTGATGAGATTCACTCTAAATCACACCGTAAATATGAAGGGAAAAATAGCAGACATGGAGGTGGTGGTGTTGTAGACAATGGGGCTACTCATAACTTCATCTCCAACCAGGTCGTAGATCAATAGGGGTGAAATTGGTAGACAAAAGGTGTTATGGAGTGATGATGGGCACTAGGAAGGTGGAGACGAGCAGAAGAGTGTGTAGGGGAGTGGTTGGGACTATACAGGGGGTCCATGTGAGGGAGGACTTCCAAACAAAACTTTAATACTGAAACATAACAGCTTTAAGCCTTTAAATCATCATTAATATCTTATATATGACCCATGCTTTCCAAATATATGTGAAAATAAAATCTGCAAAATAAAATCTTAGCTCGTGGAAAATAATCAAGCACTGGCGTTTCACCTTTTTTTTTTCTTTCTTTCTAACAGATTTGTGAATCTCATGAAAGGACGCATTTGGCTTGAAAGTGAAGGTATTGGCAAAGGCTGCACCACCATTTTCATTGTGAAGCTGGGCATCAGTGAAGATCCCACTCTTCGGTTTCAGCAAAAGTTATTGCCCCCAATCCGAGCAGGTCAAGGCGAAGCAGATCCCTTTGGTTTAAAACCAGCTCCGAAGGATGAGAAGAATGCGATCCCATCGAAGATTCGGCATCAGAGAAGCTTCTAGATTGAACCCAAAACAAGCATTTCGAAGCCGTTGGATCTGTGCTTGTACACTCGAAGCTAAGGTCAAATTGAAGTGCAAATAAAAGAAGCAGTTCTCTATCATTCCAGACTTCCAGATTCCAGAGCTTGAACTAAAACTGTAAGTGAAGTATTACAAATTTGTTTTGGGTTTACTGAACCGTTAGAATTCATTATGAGGTAGTAATATTGAGAGAGTTATCAAATCTGAAAGAGTGGTGTTCAGTATTCACAGCTTACATGAAGTTATGTTGTCACTACACAATTTATATGATAATCTTTTATTTTCTCACAGGCCAAGGAGATTGATCCTGCTGATTAATAAACAAAAAAAATTGATTAGAACATATTGTTTTGACTTAGCATTTAAATAAGGGATCTAGATTTTCCATTTAAATGATTTTCCTTCGTCTTTTTCACTTCTTCCTACGCTTTGTAATTTTATTTCCTGTAAAAAATGGAAGTTCCAAATGATAAAATTAACTTGGTAAAGAATTACATTATTGTATGTTTGACGAGCATTAAAAAAAAAAATCTTACAAAAAAGAAGAAAGTTAAGAAGGTAAAGATTGATGATTTTGAGGTGAAGAATACGATTTAAGAACTGGCAGATTCATCAAAATGGCTGGCTCACCAGCATTCTTTTTACCTCGTTGAGGTAAATAAATAACCTGTTCCGTTGGATTAATTATTCTGTGTGGTTGTCGAACGCTGTTTGGAGATCAACCAAAATGTGCAACATCATCTCTGTGCTCGGTACCGCAGATGTGATGCATTCTGGTTGATTTCTAAATGGTATTTTGCGTCCGATTTCCATATAGAATAATTTCTCGTTCCGTCGATATCTAATTCATCCTTATAGGGATAAAAATAGTAGAGATAGAAATTAGAAAAGAAGGTAAACTTGAGAAATTGGCTAACATGGTAAAAGCCTTTTCTCAAGTTGTTAGGCCATATCAATGCCTTCTCGAGCTCTCATAGTGACTTTTTTTCAAGTCGTTGGTTATCATGATGCCTTCTCTAATGAGTTATTGCGGCAATTTATTTTGCTCTAGCCAATAAGCTAACGTGCATGCCCATCATTGTTGTGGCAAGCCAAGCTCAAGCGTGTCATTTGAGCTCGAGTTTAAGTTCACAATTTCATAGGGGAGCTATGCTCAATTTAGGCATCATTCAAGCTTGACTCAACTCATTTACAAGCCTAACATCTATTGATCTAGCGACTCAACAAAAGTTCGGTCTTGATATTGCTAAAGAAAGAATTGAAGTTGGTCATATGGTTACTTTTTTAAAAGATGTAAATAGGCCAGATTGCAACAAAAATGGCTCTAATTGAAGTTATCTAGTCCAATTGTTGACCAACAAGTGGTCAAGGAGCCAAGCATTCAAGCTGGCCAAAATCCTATTGAAAGTACTAGTACTTCCATTTTTTTTTTGTTTTTTGGTGATGAGGAACCGTCCGCTGTCACATCCGACTTCATCGAGCACGCTTGGTGGTCCGTAAGCCCCGGCCGACCAAATGGGCCTCCCAGGCCATAAACTTATAGCCGACGTTTTGAAGCCCCCACTTAAGAGCCGACTGACTTCAATTCGTCCAATATAAAATGTTGAGTAGCAAATACAAGATAATATTTAAGAAGGTTGTGAAAATTAGATTAGACATAGAACCAAAAGAGAGAAATACTCAAAATTTAATGCTTCAATTAGGGTTAAATCAAAGCTTGAGCTGAATGACATAATAAATATTGAATTATTTACATAAAATCTAAATAATGTAATAATGTAAATTTATGATTAAATAAAACATAAGACTACACAAATAATATCTTAGTATTTTTCAATTTTAAAAATAATCAATATTTAAATTTAATTCACATGTAAGCTTATATATATAAATCATTATTAATTTATAATGTATTTTTAGATATAATTTATAGTTACGAATCATTTGCTAAGTTCACGTTATAATTTTACATTATAGATAATTCATGTTAGATTTTTTATAATCAAGAAATAGATAAAAAAAATTAAATTTTTATAATATATATTTAAACAAATAAAAATGAAATAATTAAAAAAATAAATAATATTCATATTATAGAAGATTAATTAAAAAATTGTTTAAAAAATATGGTACGTATCTTATGAACTTAAAAATTTTAACTTTATTATTTAATCTTACATCACTTCGAAATTATATCTTAGTATAGTTTGTATAATCTTTTTTTAATCAATTATTTGTTAGAAAGGTGGGGTTATAAAAAATACTTAATTGATGTCTCTCTCAACTCCCACCCCTTTCTTTCTCAAAACTAAGACAATAACCTCTTTTTATCCCACTTAAGCTCTCACAAATATCTCCTCTCTCTGAAAAGAGAGAACGCCACTCATTCCATAAGAATAAAATAAAATTAGAATATATATGCATGTATGTAAAAAAAAAAATAATAATAATAAAAAATATGTATGTATGTACATATATATGTGTGCGCGTTTGCTTATTACTTTGTCACTTTGTCGCTTCATCGTCATCATTTCATCTTCTTTGTGCATGCAAGTATAACACACTTCAACTCATAAAACTCCTTAAGCCAATTGGAAACAAATTTGGCAGGTGAGAGGAGCCTCATACACGTTTTTTTTAACATGGTAGGAGAAAGGTTGTCAGTGACATTCGCAACTCCGCAGGTGGAACCTACTAGCGACGTGTTCAACATGACAAATGGAACCTCAAACACTCTTTTCTAGTGTGGCGGGAGAAAGCTCATCAATGACATTTACAATGTCGGGGGTAAATTCTATTAGTGATGCGCTTGAGATTGTGAGTAGAGCCTTGTGTACGCGTTTCTTAGTGTTACAGGAGGAATCTCGTTAGCGGTGTATGCGACTTGACCCATTTTCTCGTGCAGATATCCTATACATGCCTTTATTGGGAGAGATTATTTTGTGCGGACACCAGATAGGAGAACCGCCCGGTTTACGCTCAAGTACCAAGTACCGAATAAGCCCGGTACAGGACATGACACATTTTCATTGGGGTTTGGATTCCGGACATAATAAATTTTCCTTTATTGGTGTGAGATATTTTGAAAATTATGGATGAATCGAGTTTGTTAGCTAAGATTGACACGAATTTGTCTCATTAGGCAAACATCCACCTCATGTCTACAAGATGCCTTAGGATAAAACAACACAAGATTATCGAAAAAAATCATTCAGTCAAATTGGGTCGACTACCTCTTTTGACTAAGTAGACTAGGGATCACTATAACTGGGGTGCCAAAATCATTAGATCTTGATTATGCTTATCATTATTCCCTCCGCCATCTGCTTAAGTGTGATGCAATAAAATCTAAACTTTAAAAATTCAATACCTAAAACTACTGTTTATATGTTGAGCACTTAATACCTATCTAACGACTAACCTTAATCGAAAGTTCTTTCTCATCATCATAAGGGGGTAATTAACTATAGAGGTTTGCGCCCATGAGAAACTTGAAACCATATCTCAAGTCCTCACAAAATGAGGCTGAAATATCTAGGTAATGTTTTATCTAAAAATTGATTTGAACATTAATCCATTAAAACTCTCCTTGAAAAAGGCAGGAGGTTGTGACACAAAATTTTTTAAGAAGAGTGATGGCATGATGTTTAACTCAATCAAGAAGCCTGATAGTTTGAAAAAAACAGAGAAGATCAACAATTAAATTATTAAAAAAAAAAATCCCAAGAGCCCAAAAAAAATTCAGAAATAAATCCATTAGGATTAGGCACTTATCCTTTCCAATGCTAAATAAAGCCTCCTTGATATCATTAGTAGGAAAAAGAACAATGAGATTAGAATGATCAAAAAGTGGAAGAACATTAGCAATTGGAATAGAGTCACATAGGAGTTTCCATCATTGTTAAAATATATGTGAGAACTAATTAATAACTCCAATCACAATGCCATCTTGAGATGAAACACAACCATTAGAAGTGCTGAGCTCCTTGAAAATTATCTCTACTACCCTCAATTTCATGATAAAGGAATTTGATGTCATTCCATCCTCGGCGATCCAAGCATACTTACTTAGCATGCTGCCTAATTCATTTAAGCTTTATTTGAGAAAGCTTTTAGTTACTATTTTTACGCTAGTTTCAAAAAATTTTGTTTATTATAAAAAATAATAAAACTGTCCCAAATGAAATCTTAATCTATGAGATATTAGTGTTAATAATTTTATCTTGAATGTTGAGAGTTTGCTAATGCAGGTTTGATTTGATTCAAGAGGATTTGAACCACTCAATTTTGAGAGTGGAAATAATACTATTAATGGAATTGAAATTTGACCAAATACTCCTGGGAAGACCAACTTATCATTCATAAGTTTATTACAAAAATAAAAAAAAATGAGATCACCACTAACCTAAAATTTTCATGCAAGAGAAACAGATTTAGAGTAATTATAGTAGCTTCAATAAATTCTATACATGAAGCAATGGTTGTTTTTAAGGAAATTCAAATCAAAATAAGAGAATGATTAGGGAAGAGAGGGAGTAATACAATGATTTCGTTTGAGATAGTTTTCTTCCTGCTTTTTAAAGAAACTTTCTAGCACAAAATTTTTGAAAAGAGAAAAAATAATGACAAAAACCAATGTAGAAAGTATAAAGAAATGTGTCCCTCCAAACCAGTTGATTGAACTAGCTATAAGAAAGACCAATATAAATGATACACTTAAGGATATCAACCCTCCTTTTAGGAATAGGAGATTTTCCCCTGGTCTTATCTTTAAGATTACTAAGAAGTAATCAAGGCTCTATCATACTCTAAAATAAATCCTGAATAGTACTAATTTTTTTTTTTATGATACAAATAAAGGCAAAAAAGAAAATTGATATTAGAAGTGAACTCCAAACTATAATGAATGAAACGGGCTTTAATAGTATTTCGATTAATCCAAAATCTTCCACAATCACTCATGATAGATAAACTTGCTCTCAAGAGGGCTCATAATTATTAGAACTTATCTAACGATCCTTACCTCAAACTAATAGGAGAATTCATCCAATATGATCAGGCACTCCGCTCGGATCCGCCAAGGAGCTCGAAAATTAATGAAATGCGGGAAGCGAGAGGGAGAGAAAGAGAAATATACCTGTTCTGTTCTAGTTCTTTCTTTGACGAGGTGACCGAAGGTGGGGGCGTCGGGGCTGGTTGCAGTAGCCAGCGGAAGCTTATGCAAGGCAATGGCCGGCCAGGCGGCTATGAAATGCAGGGTTGTATGCAGGTTGGCAGAAACGTCAGCCTGGAGGCAGTGCTATAGACTTAACAGCGGTCGGACGTGCGACCTGTCGGATTTGACCTGGTTGAAGACAGCAGATGGGTCGGCCAGCTAGGGTTTGGGCATGCGCGGCGGGGGCTAGACGCACGGGATGCAGGCCGGAGGGGACGAATCGGTTGAGCTCAGCGCTGGAGGGAGATCGTCGGCCGGAGGCTATGAGAGGCATGCGTCTTCGACCTCTCTTAACTATTTTAGCTTTCTTGAAAACATTAAAACTGTCCATTTTATGAACAGAGATCGTTCGGGCAATTTCGTGCATGTAATTTGTGGTCTTCGACCTCTCTCTCTCAAGTTGATTGCAAAGGGGTCCTTCCGATAATTTTGATGTTCTGAAGACAATGCAGCAATCCATTTTGTGATTGAAGGTTATATATGTAATAACTCAAATATTTGAAATAAATTTTCTTGAAACATATGTTAATTTTGAAGTAGAGCGCTTTACTAGATCAACCCAAAAGTCCACTTCAAAATTTTCATATTTTTCAAGAAAATTTATTTCACATATTTGAGTTATTAGAATACAGACAAATTCGCATAATGTTGCACTCACAGTCTTATTTTCTTCATTCAAGCGAGCTAAACATGAAGCACACCTCTCCAGTAATTTCAGTATTATGAATGTGCTGGTGAGGTCAATTTTGCAAGAAAACAACATCTCGAGCTATTTTGAGTAACTTCGGGGCATGTCCAACCACCTTATGTGATGTCACATCAATAAACTATTACTTTAATCAGTATGTTTGTGTTTGTCATCTAATACATTTTATTGCCCAACAGCCATTTTATAGGATAGATTAGTAATTCCTCATCAAGCTAGCAACTCAACACTCACCACGTACCTGGAGCAATATCTCAACCACTTGCTCTCTCCTAGAACGGTCATCCCTAAACAAGTTCATCCAACTCAATATAGGAAAAGGCCTATCTCAAGGATTCACAACTCACCATTTGCGGTTGTGAGGTGAAGAGGAGCAAATTTGTTTGATTTAGATTTCGTATTAGACATCTTTTTTATTCTTTTCCAAACAGCTTTCTACTAAAAAATTCATTAAAAAGAGTAAAAAAGCAGCGGTCAAAAGTTATCCCAAACGAAACAAAAGAGAGATGAGGAGCAGGATTTCTAGGTAGATTTGGGAGGTAGAGATCAATGGTGTATCTTGGGAGTAATTGCTGTGTCCGGACACCGAACGTGTCCAGAGACCAATAACAAAGAGCCACATCACTTGGGCGTTCGGTACCATGCTCGTTACCTAATTCGGTACACTCGATATGCTAGGTATTATGTCCGGACATAATAATTTTTCGTATCTTGGGCCCTTAAAGAAGGTTACTTTCGGTTTGTTCAAATCTTTGAGGTTCATATGCCTAACCCCACCACCTGCCTTTTCTACGGCTGGCTGTAGAAACTGAGAAAGAAGCTGAGAGTTGAGGGTTGCAGATTTGAGACAATTAGACCATTCATGCAAAAAGTATCACACTTGAATAGAGAGTTGGCTTTCATTCATAAATTATAGACCAAATGTATTCTTTACCATTTAGATTCAACAAAATGTGGCTTGAAAATGGAGATTGAGATTAGTTTGGGTCGACTTTCTTACTACTTCTTAAAATAACTTTCTAATTTTAGAATTTTAATTTTTGTGCTAAAAAAATATTTTAAGAAACAATAAGAAAATCATACCAAATAAACCCTGAGTGAATCTTTGGATACCAACTATGGTGAAGGTAAGTCTAGAGTTATAAGCAATAAGGGGGTCAACAATAAGGAAAAATTATTCTGTGCAAATACCAGACAACATCCAAAGACCAACAAGAACGCATCACATCACTTTTTTCCTCTGTATCGATGCATGGTACCACTCTATACCAGGTGACATAACGTTTTCTGATTGATCTTCAGACCGTTCGGTGTCCGCACTAAATAATTTCTCCAACAATAAGAGGAGTGCCAATCTTGCTCACAATTTTGGATATACCATTCTCACTCCAATAGCATAATGGGAGATTGCGTATCTTCATCCACGCAAGAATCTCCTTAAGATCGATAGGCTTAGAATCAATAGACCAAACTTCAAAATAAAAAGACACCCGCTAAAAAAAAACCCATTCACAAGTGAGTGGAGACAATACTTTTGGGATTCAATCGCTTACTATTCATTCATTACAAATTCTTAACATATCCAACTAAAGTCATCAAGCTTCAATCTTTAGCTCCTTCAGTGATTTCATCGCCTAAAAGGAGAGATTATTCCGTGTGGTATCCGAAAACATCCGGAGGTCAATTTGGACGTGCCACATCATCCAATGCACTGTGCATTGGGTGACTTGACGCATCCGGATTGACCTCCGGACATGTCAAGACACCGCACATAATAATTTTTCCTAAAGGAATTTCTAAATTGTTTCATTGGTTCGGTCATTATTCAAAAAAAAAAAATGCAGGCAAAGGCTAGCAACAAGGTTGCTTGTAAATTTGATGGTGCTATTAAAGCAGCAAGTAGGCAAGACTTCTCTAATTAGCATTAATAACATAGCAAGCAAATGTGATGATAAAATCATAAAAAGAGAGCTCTCACTTGCAAATCCTTCGTAATTATATGTTAAGATCTATTCAATGTGCCTCGAGATCCGCACAACCTCGACCGGATCAGCATGAAACTCATGCATGGTGGATGGTTAATAGTAGAATAACGGAAACCATAAGTTCCAAGATTGGCTATTTTAAGGAACTTAGTAAGCCAAACAATGAAAAATTCGATATAACCATTAAAACAAATAATTCATATTAGAACAGAGATGTGGAATAGTTGAAGAAGATAGTTGTTGGTAGAGGGAGGATCAAAACAGCCAATTGCTACAACATGAAATACAGTTTATACAAAAAGCATTGAAGGCTCTTTTAAAACAAAGAGAAACGTAGATAGGCACAAATGCTACATATCAGGAGAACAAAATCATTATGAAGACAGCAAAAATTTGTAATCTTAGGAACTTTTTGTTCAGCAACATAATTTTGCATGACAAAGAAATTCCTACTTGATTTTGTACTGAAACTCGTAGTAACATCAGCAGGATTACGATCAAAATAAGAAACCTGTAGCAAATCCTCTCCAGTTTTCCGGAGCAAAAGAACTCAGTCCAAGTGCTCCATCTATTGAAGGGTACAAAGATCATTAATATACATTAATATGTCAAATATTCGCCATAATAATCCCAACAATGGCTAACTATCAGGGAAGAACAAGGGCGAGAAGCTGGAAAGACTCCTCAAGTTGCTTTAAAATAAATATAAAAAGTTTTCTGTAGATGTACATTTTGATAGAATTTAGAGAACATCTATACTATGCGTATAATAACTGAAAATCTCATGAAAAAACTCATTCATGTCACTAAAGCCATGCATCATAAATCACCCGGGGGGAAGATATATTTTATTTTCCAAAATTTCCCCTCAACTTAATTAGAAGGACAAATAAATTCTCTAATAATACTCTTTTAGTATAAATGGACATTCCAATGTGTAAGTATCGTCTTATAGTACATGGATGCTCATTAGATACAATAATGAACATGTTGGGCACAGCCTAAAAAAGAAAAAATTATAATTGATAAGACATAATTTAACAGCATTGCTGCGTATTTTAGTACATTTAATGTGTTTTTCTTGAGGAATTTGAATTCTTGCACTCTTTTTGAAAGTAGAGGAAATGCCAACAACAACAAAAACATCATCATCAAGCCTTTATCCCACTAAGTGGGGGTTGGCTACACAGTATTTCTCCATTGTGTTCATATATAATATCATCATTATGATCACTAGCCTTATTCACCTATTTTGAGACGGCTTTATGAAAACTTCTTCTCATTGTTGTATGTAAAGTTTGGTTGATAAAATCCCTTATTTTCAACTATACTAAATTCTTTTATGCATACCTAAAACACTTAAGCCAATTATCTACCTTGTCTTAATTAAGTGCAATCTTCGCTGTCTCCACAATACAATCATCTAACAATCTTATTCTTCCTAGTTTTACCGCAACATCTATGTTAGTGTTTTCATTTCGTTACACCTAGTTATCAACACAATAAATTAAGTGTTAGCATCACAAATAAACTTGATAATACTGAAGCTCTAAAATTATTTAAAATTTTTATGCTAAATCAAACTAATAGTTTCAGTTATAAAGGAGTTAAATTAATTACTCCATTAGCATCTATGTTTTTTTTATTCATTTAGTACATTGTTTATTGCACTGCTCATTCTTTATATCAAAGTGAACTATGACAACAACTGGAAACAATGCATCCCCACAAGCAGATAGACACATGGATAATTAAAATGGAGTGCCCAACCATGAAATCTCCGCCTATTTCATGAATTTAACAACTCAAATTAACTGATAGCTGGTGAAAATATGGAAACGAAAAATAACTTTAAATGATCAATTAAAATTATCACATTATGCTCAAAGAGATAATTTGAATCTTGGTTTCAAACCTGGTTGGCCTCCAAATAGGTTGTTACAAAACTATTTAGGCTGTAGATTTTAAAATAAGTTCTAGAAAAAGGATAAATGAAACTTTTAGGACATACGGGACAAGAATTTAATTGTTAAACAGTACGTATTAATGATGTTCATTGTCAATTCTCTGTTCATTCGGTGGTAAAAATTCTCAGTTCAAAACATCAGGACAACTTTATGGAGTGATGAAGAGTGTGACTAGCTGGAGGAACAGATATAGCGAAGTTTGAATAAGATAGATGATCAATCAGTGCATACCTTCCAGAGGCCATCATTTAGATAGTGCATGTTGTCAACACCAATTCCTTTGTTGATGGCCCTTCTGCAGAAACATTGAAATATAATGTTCTGTTGTATTAGTATAGGCTAAAAAAATTTCAAACTCTCTTATTAACAAGCATAATTCAAGAGAATTTTGATGCAAACTTAAATATTAGTAAATCGCCCTCGATGATAATGATAACAAACATATTAAGTGGAGTCAAAGCAGAATCAAACCATGCTTAAGTAGCAATAGACACAAATGTAAGACAAACAAACAACTTGGTTCACAGCAATCAGCCTCTTATATAGAAAAAGAGAAATGAATAGCATTTAACTCAAATGAACCTGTAGTGAACACTGCACATACAGCTTAAACAATCTACATATTCAAACAAAATACTACTACTACTAATAATAATAATAATTAAAATGTTTAACATGGGAAGATTTTGACTTATGTTAAGAAAGTTAGAGGTAGACCTAAAAAGACTTAGTTAGAAATTATTAGAAATGACACTTTTTATTAGATTTAATTGAGACTTTGACTCTTAATAAGACACAATAGATAAAAATGATTTATGTAGTCGACCGCATGTAGCGGAATTAAGGCTTGACGTTGTTGTTGTTGTTGTTGATGTAGTGCTATACTATTTACACACAAGACAAATGATATACTAAGCAATCATTTTTAACAAGGACTGAGAATAACAATCATTTATAATTGATAACACAATCAGAAAAAATCTTCAGAAGAAAATATTGTAAAACTTGAATAATGAAAATCTCTGGAACATGGAAACTACTACTGCTTATACACTTGTCAATTGAAGAAACCGCTATAGGAATAGGAATGCCAGCATCAACTTCACAATTCAAGTAAGAATGCAACTTACATGTTTTTTGCAGACATTTTGGTGAACCCAATAGCAAGAGCATGCTGCTTTCCCTCAGCCATTATGGCCTGAAACAGATTGAAAGCAAATACAGCAAAATTCATGCATTCTTTAGTCTTCATTAACATGCAGCTTGTAAAGGCTCCATTACAATATAAAGCAAATTATGAAGAATGCACTAGCAAAAGAATCAGGATAACATCTCCGTAAAACTATAATCTTTGTCTGCTTGAAACTTCATGAAATCATGCCATCTAACATTCAATCTTAGAAATTTCTGGAAGGCATGGATAACAGGAGCTTCCATCAATAACATGAGAAAATTCATCCGTTTAGGGGAAAATATGAATGTGTTACAGTAAGAAGCAACATAATATAGAACGTGGCTCCACCTTCCTTGGTACACGCATTATCAATGTATTGATCTTTATCAAACTTATCTAGCAATCATGAATGATAAAATTAAAGTGTTTCACAAAATGTAAGAATACTAATATTGTAAAAAGACCTTAACTTTGCACCGCAATAAATAAATAAATAAATAAAAGTCAGGTTGGGGACCTCGTTCCCACTAATTTAGCTGGAGAGGCATTGGTCCAAACACCAACCGCACCACACTCACTTCCACATTGCAACAGATTATGATTGCAGAGAGGAGGGCTCTCAGAGAGATCAAGAATAGGGGCCAGCAAGGACACTTACGTCTGTGCTGGGTTCCCTCCTTTCTCCAGTCACTAAGTTTTCCCTTTTTCTGCTTACACCATTTATCTTCCATTTCTTCAGGAAAGCAATGCCAGCTGGATCTTGTTGCCTAAGGTGCTTGGTGGACGCTGGAAATTGTTTGAAAATAGTTGGGCTTTGGAAAAACCTATAATGTGTAATTAAGCTTAGCATAATTTGGATCAGCTATTGATTAAGTGCTTGGAAGAACTAGATTCATGCTTGGTTTGGGGTTCAAGATAGTAAACCTATAATGACTCCGTAATTGATATATTTAGAAATAACAGTGTTAAGACAGAAGAAATAATGTTAGTTTATTATTCTAGAGTTTCATATGAATATCATGAATCATGATAAATGATGTTCTAAACTATTAGCAATAATAACTAAAATATATAATATGTAAAAAAAAAAAAACTAAAATATATAATATGTAAATGCTTGGCAGACTTTATAATCATGTTGTGTTATCAAAGGTGAATAGCTTGATAGCTACGCTAAATCATAATTTGAGGATGAATTTTTTTAAGGAGAGTTTAAGGTAAAAAATCTATAAAATTATCCTGGGAGAGTTCTCTACTCATGCTTATGTGATGAGGACATCAGAGATCTACGGCTACGTTCGTGCCTATTTATTTTGATTTATTTTATGTATTTGATTTGTTATTTTTCTTTTTACCTTTCTACCCTCACTTGAGGGCTTTGTCTTATATATTCCCTAGAGGCAATAGTGTCTTTGTTAATTCCCTTCATGTATTTGCCTATTTAAAGCATCCCTCTTCTTCTTGGAGGGTTAATGAATGAATGATAAGAAAATTCCTGCACATGTGTTCTTTGAGTTGTGAGAGTTCTAGGAGAGAGCTTTGGAGAGATCCCTAGGGAGGAAAAATGGATCACCCACCAACCTTGGAGACGGCCGGATTCGTGGTTTGTTTTATCGTTCTTTTTCTTTCAATCTCTTTTCTTCCTAGCTGCCGGATTCCCTAGCCACCCCCACCTTGCCACCGGCCAACATCTCCCACAACCAAGCCATTAAACCAAACCCCTTGCCCCTCTTGCCACCAGCCCCACCATCCTCTTCACCGCCCCCCTCCAAACCGCCAACCCACAAATCACCTCAATCCCCTTTCCCCCAAACCATGGCTCCACGTTTCTCCCCCACCCAAGTCGCCGGCCTCCCTAGCCTCTTTCCCCTACATTTCCTTATTTCCTAATTTGGGTTTGAACAAAATTTGGGGCAGATTTTGAATTCAAATCCAATGGATTTGAAATTCAAATCCTTTCCTAAAATCTCAAATCTATTTTTGGGAAGTCATCAAATCTAATCCAAATCAAATTTGAATTAAATTTGATTAAATCCCTTTCCCTTATTTGAAGTTCCCTATTTTTGGAAGATTAACTTTCTTTCCAAATCTCCCTAGCCCCATTAAGCCGCCGGCCCCCACCTCTTTAATTCCTTGGATTTATTTCCTAAGCACAATCTCTCCTCTTGGAAATAATTCAAACCTCTCCCCAAATTCAAATTGCTTCCTAAAATAAGATACTATTTTAAGAAACTTATCCAATCAAATCCAAATCAACTTTGAATTGGATTGGAATTAATTCTTCCCTCCTTAATTGGAATTCACAAAGAGGCAAGCATTAAACCCTCTCCCCAATCCCCTCCACTCTCTTGATGCCGCCAGCCATATGGTCCCTCTCCCAATTGATTTCTTTCCAAAACACTAAGCTCCAATCAAAGGAATTAATTCCCTAATTCCTCCTCCCCTCTCTACCCGCCACCCACTTCAACCCTAGCCCCAACACTTGATTCTCCTGCTGTCCAAGAGAAGACCAGCCGCTGTCCGGAATAATTCTAGGATTTTGGCCAAGATCTAGTTGCTGTCCTGAATTTCAGACTCAGGAGAACTGTTGTCGAGCCGCCTAAAAGGCCATAATCTGCTGTCCAAAGCCTCTGGTAGCATAGAAGAGCAGTCTAAGGCTTGTCAAACCTAGTAGGGTGCTGTCCAGAATCTGTCTCCGGCTTCTAACCTGCTGTCTAAGGCTTGTCAAGCACGTAAACCCCACATCGGAGCTTCGTTTGTCTTGTTTATTTGGGTGATCTCTCTTCCTACTCTTTTATCTTTTAGTCGTTCTCAATTGTAGTTCTAATTGACTCATGGAAAGTTGTGTTAATTCTTCCCGCTAAAGCCTAGGATTTATTAGGAGTTGTGTGAAAGATCTTTCATAGCACTACTCTTATTCTTAGATTAGAGATTTCTTGTTGAAACCCATTTCGTTTGCAACGTCTAGAGCTATTGATTATTATGTGGTTTTTACTTTTCGCAAGTAACTTGGCCTAAGCTTGTGTTTACCGTTCTTTGATTTTATTTCTTTGTTTGAGTCATCACAAAGCTTTAATTAATTCGCTCCTACTCATTAAGCGTGCAAATTCCTTATCTAAATCAAATTTTCATATATGTCCTGCCTCATTATGAGACAAGAATATCAACCTAAGTAGTGAGGCAATGTATGCATATGGTTTGAGTTAAAAATTTTATGAAATTTGATTCTAAAAAATATTAGATGCTTAACCATGATGAGGTTATTTGTTCCTAATTGCAAAGATTAAGAATTTATACCATTCATTTGCAGGTCTTGCATGTTGTTCTTGACCAAAGAGTATTTGATTTAAGTTCACAGATATTAATATAGTTTGAGTCGAGAGGGCGCGCAAACTTTATTTAAGTTGCGACAGTCCTTTCTACATTTTAGCTGGGTAGTCTTACGCTTTATAAAAGAAAGTTCCTTTCTACATTTACTATTATTGTACGTGTGTTCTTTAAATTTGATTAATTATTTCTATGCATGCAACGAAACTTATTAGAGATATACATCTATATGTTAGTATTTTCCCTCCATATGCTTATCCGGAGTTGCCAAAATTGTTTATCAGCTTCTTTAAAACATTGATCATTTATTATTGAGAATAATTGCAAGCATACATATTTCTTTTTTTTTTTACCGACATGTAAAATTGCTATATGCTATTGATTTGGTTGCGACATGTACCTATAACTTGGACGAACAAACCCCTAGTAGAATTGATAGGATCAATGCTGAATCTGACAGGCTTCAATAAGAGAATGAGTTCAGTGGATATGAGGATCTATCTAAAGCAAGCTAAATACAAGTATGCCAATTGATAGTTGTTACATATATTTATGTAAATTGAGAATGAATGAATGATATTATCATACTGATGCATCTATTATATTGTTTCAAATGTATCGGTTGTGATACTATATTGAAATTTTTTACATGATATTGTTATTGATAGATCATCGAGATTTGTGGGCTCCGAAAAACTCTCTCATCGTGGAGAGTTTTAATGCTCAAGTTCTAAGGCAAATTTCAGAAGGCAGATTGGGTTTTGAATAAGACATCACCCTCATTTTGCGAGGACTTTGTCACATGAGTTTAGGTTTCCTATAGGCGTAAGAATAGTTAATTGCCCCTCTCGGCAACGAGGGAGAAATTTTGATTAAGGCTAGTCGTCAAACAGATACGTAAAGGTATGTAGTATCTAGCGTATACTCGTATAGTAGCAACATGATTTAGGTATTTGAAAATTTAACATTTAAAATTGAAATTTACCACCTTGCACTTAAAGCGAATGATGGAGGGTGTGATGATAGACCCGATCAACATCCCATAGTTCCGTCGTCCCGAGCCATCATGATCCATGTTCTACTTAGTTAGAGGAGGTAGTCGACCTAACATGACAGAAGGATCCTTGTCAGCAACCATGAGTTGCTTTGTCCAAATGCATCTTGTAAACCTAAGATGAATATTTGTCTAAAGAGACATTTGAATTCACCTTAGCTAACAAAGGACTTTGTGACTTATTGATCATATTATATTGATTCATTACTTAATGATTTAACGTCGTTGGGGAACATACGGGCTCTGACTATGACCGTAATAATTGTGCCATTTGGCGGCAAAACCACCTGGTCAGAGGGTCCCGGTCATAACCATTTACTTGTGATGTCATTTGGCAGTGAAACCACCGGTTAGAGGACACGTGCTACGTCCTTACTAGCAAGAGATGAATTGAGAATAAATCCTAAAGATATTCTCAACAAAATATTTGCTCTTTGTGAGCTGAAGTGATTTCTAACTTATCCACCTCGGTAAACTATTGCGGATAGTGGATGAGTATTTTGCTTTAAGTGTTTGGTAGTTGATTTCAATTTTAAACATTAATGTCATAGAATATATCTTATGGGAGTTGGGAGACATTTTTAAATATTTGAGGGTTTCCTCTGGTTGAGATCTTCCATCAACACGGCTATCATCGAGGTCT